TCACTGAGAAAGAGTAGTACCAGTTACAACATTCCTTGACAATATACACAAAGTGTATCAAGTATGTCAGCGATTAAACTGTTTTCTGCTTTTGCATTGAGCTATTTTCTTGATTGGTCAAAATAACATTAAAATCGGATGTACTCATATATAACGTGACCTGCATTTTCATACAATAACCGTGCGTAATACTATGAAATCGACACTCTATCGATAACCGACGCAACGAAGCAACTGTGACTCCCGATAACTAATTAGAATTGTACCCGCTCTGTGTCGGAACTGTCAGACATGACGAAATCCATTTCAGAACACACACAATGACGTTAATCACAAATTAATCACAGTTTCAGTGCCACACAATCATCGGTCACACTCGTACAATGCCAAGTCGTCTTCGGCTGTAGACAGCAGTATTCAGCATATCATAGCGGTTGCACTGGAAATGAGGTTTTGCCACCATCATCACATTAACAGTGAACATGATTACATTTAGGGGTGGTCTTCTTGGTGCATGCCATTTGCAAATAGCACTGTCACTGTGTAATTATTTTGGCAGCCGTAGATAGTGATGGTGACCTTGGTTTGTTTGTTTGTTTGTAGACTGACGCCGCACCTCGCAATCTTTCAGCTATATGAGGGGCGGTAGGGTAGCCTACAGTTCATAGTGGCCTTAACTTACTAACAAAACTGTGGAAGTCTAGCAGGACCTGCAGTGTGATGAGGTCTCCATGGTTACAGGCCCCATTTCCCTGTATCAGGGGCAGTGGGTAGCCTACAGTTCATAGTGGCCTTAACTTACTAACAAAACTGTGGAAGTCTAGCAGGACCTGCAGTGTGATGAGGTCTCCATGGTTACAGGCAATTTCCCTGTATCAGGGGCGGTGGGGTAAGGGTTAAAGCGTTCAGGCGTCACGCCGAAGACCCGGGTTAGATTCCCCGCATGGGTACAATGTGGAAGCCCATTTCTGGTGTCCCCTGTCGTGATATTGCTGGAATATTGCTAAAAGCTGCGTAAAAAGAAACTCACTCACTCCAGCTATGTGACGGCAGTCCATAAATAATTGATTCTGTCAATTAGCTTTCCTCAGTATTCAACGTCACGACTTGCTAGTTTACTACAGAAACTGAACATAGCTTTATACTTATATACATGATGTACGAGATAATAAATACTTTTCGTGTAAATAATCAAAGCTGTGTTTTGATTGGTTGGTTGGTTGGTTGGTTGGTTTGTTGGTTGGTTTGTTGTTTAACGCCGAAACCAGCAGTATTATGTCTATATGATGGCGGTCTGTAAATGATCGAGTCTGGACCAGACAATCCAGTGATAGACATCAATACTCAACCAAGTTAGCGAGCCTGACCATTCACAAAATAAAACAAGTTGTTATCCATAAATTGGTCATTATTATGTCACCCTTCGTATTCTGGTCCTGCTGGAGTCCATGTACTAATTCCACATCATGGACGCTCTCACCACTGCCGTAAAGGCCCGTGATGTAATTAGAGGAAACAAAAATAACACTGGATCGGTGTCATTTGTTGACTATTTTTACCTAAGAGAACTTAAGATGGATGACAAATCCAATTCTAACTGAAGTGTCCAATTCTGGACATCCTTGCAACTAAAGAAAACCTCGGAATATTTCGTTGTTTTTTTCTCCACATGTCAGATGCCGTGATTGAGTATTAGAGGATTAATTAGTCCTCATGTCATCGCCGGAAGCAACATTTCCCTTGTTCGATAATACCTTCGCCACTGAAAGTCGGAAACAAAAACGTGGGTTCCAAATTTGTTTTTGTTCGTCTAGGAAAACACTCGAGGGAAACCATTGGAGAGGGAACAAATCTCTTCACTGGGTCCTTAAGAATGACACAAATTGCAAATGCAAATATTAGCCGAGCTGTGAGAAGAAAAGACAACATTGCTAATTGTAGGTTCATCATCATTTATTGATGAGAACTGGCGTACCGGAAAGGCGTCGACCGCCATTGACCATTCAGCCAATCAGCGTAGACTTCAAGAATCTAATCTCGTTCTCTGTGTTTTCTTAATCAGCTCATTATGTAGACAATCAACTCTCCACGAAGGCTCCATAATTATGACGATGGGACGAAATTTAACAACAAAACCGACATGAAATTAACTCCCTCATCGAAAGCGAAATAATGACGTTTTAAATTGGAAACGTCAGTTCGAATGTGTGAGAGCAAGACAGACTTCCATTAGGTTCTATTTAAATGTCAGTCTTAGAAACATCACAATGCCGAAATTACTTCTGGCACTGAGAAAAAATGTTGAAATCTTCTGAGAAAATTATTCTTCTGTAAGTTCAGAAGTTGAGAGAGAATGTTTTCCTAAAGCTGTACACATTTGTGAAAAGTCATTAAACGTGCATCATTCCTTGAAAAGGCACCATTGCATTAACATAACAATTGAATTATCTATGTTCCAATAACATTATTTTCTGAACTCGGATAAACCGCTCATTGCATTTTCTCACAAGTTCCTTTGTAAGTGTTAGCAATTGTTCTGTAAATTAATTATAAAGGCTAAAACCGAACAATTGATGCAATTGTCTTCAAAAAGCCAAATTACACATATTTGAACAGGATCTTGTGTCTACAAAAACACCTAGAACAGATAGACCATCTGTTTCCTAAACAAAGCAATCTAAATGCTGTGATTGCCATCAGGAAATTGAAAAGGTTCTGTGACTATTCTTTGTTGAGCTTCGAAGATTGCTTTCGTACACTACTGTTCAAAAGAAACATCACCCAGACTGCGACTGAACAGCGAATTTAGCACCACATGTGTGCTGAGTCGCGATCGTGTGAAGGTTTGTTTTACCAAGAATTGAAAAAAGGAACATGTTACGTGGATTGACACTTTTTTTGTTGACACTTCAAGCGAGTGAGCATGTACACAGAGATGTCGCACCTATGGCACTGAAGAAATTGTCAAGCCATATAACTTGTCCCTCTTCTTCACACAAACTATTCAAAGTTAAGAATTCCAAAGAAAACACAAACACAACGTCAGTACATTCGCAATTGAGGTCACGGTTCTATTAATAGTATAGTAAATACATGTATATACCAGAATGAGGATGTCCTTGCTTATTTAGATGTTATAATGAAAGCAACAAAAAGAGACATTCATTATAAAAGCAACATCAGTACTACTGTTGGAAACAGACTATATATGAACATGTGTTTATGAATCATTTTCAACTATTGGTGATCCCAGATGTTCGCGGAAAGGCTGAGATGTTCTCAGTGAGGAAGTCCTGCATGTCGCGTATTGTTTTCTCAGTAAACATCAGATGACGCGCAGTTGAACAATTGTCCTGAATGCCAGGAAATAGATATGTCACTGCATCTATGGCCACCACGTGGTGTGACACACGCCATGTGGACCAAGATTCTTTCCGAGGTTGTGAAATGTTAAGCAAATTCTTTGAAGTTTGAAGTTCACAAAATACCAATTGCTCTTTTTAAATACTTTCTGTGAATTTCATTAAAAGTTTATAGTTAGAGGATTTGGTGGTGCATTTGCTGGACCCATGCCCAGCAATATATTTTATATGGATCTTAAGATAAGGATGCCTCCGGTCCCTGACTAATTGACTGTATGGACATACTAGTGTTGTACCAGTTAGGCGTACAAACCATTAGCAGCAGGCATTAACTTTATTACAATAATTCGTGGCGTGTTCAGAAATATTCTCGCCAAATATCTGGGGACCTATTCCTTCCTGGCCTCGTGTCGTGTGCGATACAAATACGTAAACTTTTAACACCAAATATATCTTTCCGTATCATAAGAGAGATAGCAGTATTATATACGCCTTAAGCCCGTATTGGAAACTCTGGTATTGATTTGCATATCATTTTTTAATAAGTCAGAGAACACAGGGCATACGTTTCCGAGATATGCGTACTTTCCTCGATCGAAGGTAAAGCTTTTAAAGTTTTGATACAAGGTAATGCTACACGTCCGCAGAATAAGGAACATCAGGCATAAAATGTAGAAAATCATTATTTTGGTGTAGATGATGCTCTCTGACTGACTGACTGACTGACTGACTGAGTTTGGTTTTACGCCGCTTTTAGCAATATTCCAGCAACATCACGGCGGGGGACACCAGAAATGGGCTTCACACATTGTACCCATGTGGGGATTCGAACCCGGGTCTTCGGCGTGAGGAGCCAAAGCTTAAACCACTAGGCTACCCCACCGCCCCTGATGCTCTCTGGGCTGTTGAGGGAGATGGGGCTCTCTGAGCTGTTGATGGAGATGTTGCTCTCTGAGCTGTTGATGGACATGGTGCACTCTGAGCTGCTGGTGGAGCTGGCGCTCTCTGAACTGCTGGTGGAGATGGTGCTCTCTGAACTGTTGGTGGAGATGGTGTTCTCAAAGCTGCTGATGGAGATGGTGCAATCTGAGCTGCTGATGGAGATGATGCTCTCTGAGCTGCTGGTGGAGCTGGCGCTCTCTGAGCTGCTGATGGAGATGGTGCACTCTGAGCTGCTGATGGAGATGATGCTCTCTGAGCTGCTGGTGGAGCTGGCGCTCTCTGAACTGTTGATTGAGATGGTCTCTCTGAACTGTTGATGGAGATGTCTCTCTGAGCTGTTGATGGAGATGTGCTCTCTGAGCTGTTGATGGACATGTTGCTCTCTGAGCTGTTGATGGAAATGATGCTCTATGAGCTGTTGATGGAGATGATGCACTATGAGCTGCTGATGAAGATGGCACTCTCTGAGCTGCTGATGGAGATGGTGCTCTCTGACCTGTTGGTGGAGATGGTGCTCTCTGAGCTGCTGATGGAGATGGTGCACTCTGAGCTGCTGATGAAGATGATGCTCTCTGAGCTGCTGATGGAGATGGTTCTCTCTGAGCTGCTGATGGAGATGGTTCTCTCTGAGCTGCTGAGGGAGATGGTGCACTCTGAGCTGCTGATGGAGATGGTGCCTTTGAGCTGCTGATGGACATGTTGCTCTCTGAGCTGCTGATGGAGATGGTGCTCTCTCACCTGTTGATAGAGATGATGCTGTCCGAGTTGTTGATGGAGATGGTGCTCTCGGAGCTGCTGATGGAGATGGTGCTCTCTGAGCTGTTGATGGAGATGATGCTGTCCGAGTTGTTGATGGTGATGGTGCACTCTGAGCTGTTGATGGTGATGGTGCTCTCTGAGCTGTTGATGGAGAAGGTGCTCTCGGAGCTGCTGATTGAGATGGTTCTCTCTGAGCTGCTGATGGAGATGGTGCTCTCTGAGCCGATGGAGATTCTGCTCTCTGTGCTGTTGATGGAGATGGTGCTCTCTGAACTGTTGATGGAGATGATGCTCTCTGAGCTGCTGATGGAGATGGTGCCTTTGAGCTGCTGATGGAGATGATGCTCTCTGACCTGTGTTGATAGAGATGATGCTCCCCGAGTTGTTGATGGAGATGGTGCTCTCTGACCTGTTGATAGAGATGATGCTCCCCGAGTTGTTGATGGAGATGGTGCTCTCTGAGCTGTTGATGGAGATGATGCTCCCCGAGTTGTTGATGGAGATGGTGCTCTCTGAGCTGTTTATGGAGAAGGTGCTCTCTGAGCTGTTTATGGAGATGATGCTCTCTGAGCTGTTGAGGAAAATGGTGCTCTTTGAACTGTTATGGAGATTATGCTGTCTGAGCTGCTGATAGAGTTGGTGCTCTCTGAACTGTTGATGGAGATGGTGCTCTCTGAGCTGCTGATGGAGATGGTGCACTCTGAGCTGCTGATGGAGATGATGCACTGAAGATGGCACTCTCTGAGCTGCTGATGGAGATGATGCTCTCTGCGGTGATGCTGCCCGAGATGTTGATGGAGATGGCACTCGAAGCTCTGATGGAGATGGTGCTCTCTGAACTGTTGATCGAGTTGATGGAGATGGAGATGCTGCTCTCTGAGCTGTTGATGGAGATGATGCTCCCCGAGTTGTTGATGGAGATGATGCTCTCTGAGCTGCTGATGAAGATGGAGCTGGAGATGGTGCTCTCTGCGCTGCTGATGGAGATGATGCTCCCCGAGTTGTTGATGGAGATGGTGCTCTCTGAACTTTTGATCGAGTTGATGCTCTCTGAGCTGTTGATGGAGATGTTGCTCTCTGAGCTGTTGATGGAGATGATGCTCCCGAGTTGTTGATGGAGATGATGCTCTCGGAGCTGCTGATGGAGATGGTGCTCTGAGCTGCTGATGAAGATGGTGCACTCTGAGCTGAGCTGCTGATGGTGGTGCTCTCTGAGATGATGCTGATGGAGATGGTGCTCTGAGCTGCTGAGATGATGCTCTGAGTTGCTGATGGAGATGATGCTCTCGGAGCTGCTGATGGAGATGGTGCTCTCTGAGCTGCTGATGGAGATGATGCTGTCTGAGTTGCTGATGGAGATGGTGCTCTCTGAGCTGCTGATGGAGATGGTGCTCTCTGAGCTGCTGATGGAGATGGTGCTCTCTGAGCTGCTGATGGAGATGGTGCTCTCTGAGCTGCTGGTGGAGATGTGTTCTCTGTGCTGTTGATGGAGATGGTGCTCTATGAGCTGCTGATGAAGATGTTGCTCTCTGAACTGTTTATGGAGATTGCGCTCTCGGAACTGCTGATGGACACGATCTAAGCTGTTAATTGCGTGTATAGAAATTGTAACTGTAACATCATTCATTAAAACAGAAACAAAACTGACTGAAATCTGGTGACAATTTATTTGCAATCAGAGAGGAATACACAAATAGGAAAGTATGGACACCATGACTGACCCATCTGATTATCCGACAGTTCAAATAATGATTGATGTGATTGTATATCTGGCACTGGCGACCACATTACTGAGTCAGTTACTGCGGATTTTGAACAGGATTATCTCTAGTTCTAACTTGGCGTTGAGATGTTCAAAAGGGTTCATATAGGGGCTCCTTTGTGGGCTTTGGTAATGTTTCGATAGCGTTGTTGAGATGAGAACGGTGAGGTCTAGCTTCGTTATTCATGAATATCGGAAGACTGGCAAGGAGGTGGTTATCAACATGTGGCACGACGTCGGTATCCAGTACTGCCTGATGATAAAATTGAACATTAAGTGCCCCAGATACTGCCATGAGATCCATCTTGCAGTCATACGAAACGTAACCCCAAACCATCACTGAACCACCTTCAAAAGGTTCAGCTACATTGATCATTTCCGGATGATGTGTCTCGCTACTACGTCTCCATACGAGACAACGGCCGTTGGTAACGTGTAGAAAATTCATTAGACCAATGACCCCCTACGCCTTGTCTTCAAGTTGCGGTTTTCTAGGAACCTGCGTCACGCAGGACGTTAATGCCTGTGTCTGTCTGTGAGGATGGGACGTCTGACTGGACGACGCATCCTCAGACCAGCAGCCTGCAGCGTCCTCCTGATGGTTCTGGTGGAGAGTTGGACTCCCACTCTTCACAGCCGTCATGGGGTTGCGTCTTGCCAGACAGATTAGGACTCGGTCGCTGTCATCATGGTGATTGGTCTACCTCGGCGTTGAAGGTCATGGACGATCCTTTAGTTCACCGGTTGCCACGTGCAGTCACACTAATAACCGAGTGATTAATGTTCCAGTTAGCACTGATGTTTGCACAGGACATCCCTACGTCATGCATGTCAAAACTTTAAGTCGTGTTTCTGAAAGTCTACGTTTTGCCATGTCGAGAAAGGTTATATTTTCTATCTGTTAACTAGTGCATATACTGCAATTATGACATTTATACCCCAATGTGCTTGGCGCCTCCGAAGTACGTGAACCCGCGATCCACAGCTTTTGATGATGTGTGACGCACGTGCTTTACATGTGCCTTCCGGTATGCAGATATGAGCACCTGTTTGCACCAAAAATATTTTAAATGCCGTTAGGTTCAGGTAATATTAAATTAATAGTCATGTGTATGTCAATACACGTTCCTCATACTTATTGCTGACGGGACGAACACGGCAAGCTGTTCTGATGGAATTAATGTAACCGTTCTGTTGTTATTAACAACTTCTATTTGAAAGAAGTGCTCTAGAAAACATCGGAAAATACACATTTGTACTCAATCTCTTTACGAATGGGACGAACACGGTTACGAGTGACTGTTTAGATGTAGATTCTTCACAATAGAACACTCCGGTAGCGTCAAACGAGTCATTTACAGGGCGCTTCTAAAAATATGCGTCCTAGTGCTTCGTGAATGAACACCAGGGAATGACCAGGGATTACATACGGGCTTTTGTTTAGTTGGGTCACAGCGAGTGGGGGTGTCTACCGGTGCGACAGTACATGCTTACAAATTTTGCAAACACCTGGTGTCATCACTGATTTTCAGTGATCCATGCTTATGGTTTTCGTTGATGTGCCATTCACACCCGTCAGAATCTGAGTGAGTGAGTTTAGCTTTACGCCGCACTCAACAATATTCCAGCTATATGACGGCGGTCTGTAAATAATCGAGTCTGGACCAGACAATCCAGTGGTCAACAGCATGAGCATCGATCTGCGCAATTGGGAACCGATGAGATGTGTCAACCAAGTCAGCGAGCCTGATCACCCGATCCCGTTAGTCGCCTCTTACGACAAGCATTGGTTACTGAAGATCAATTCTAACCCGGACCTTCACGGGAACGTCAGAATCTGAGTCGAGGCAAGTCGAGACGGTGTGTTTTCTGGTGTGGGCGTTTCGTATTTACACAATATTATTGAGTATTAGATTATTCCGGGACTGTCACGTCTTTCTACCATCAGGACGTCATATTTTTCGAAAGTACTCTATTGTGGGCTTTTTGTACTGAGCAAAATTTACTCTTTTAAAAATATTGGGTTTTCAACAAGTTTCCAGTTACTGCGGGGCGAAACTGTGCACCTCCAGTTTGGGTATGTGACTGCAGTGAGCTACGGCAGGTACTACAGATTCAGCCTATCTTTACTGCCTGTGAACCAGGGCCCTTATTCTCGAAACGTTCGTAGCCCTAAGAATTCTTAACATTGATCGTAGCCAATGTGTTAAGAATGGGCTAAAGAAGTTCGCAGGCCTACGAACGTTTCGAGAATAGCTAGCCTGTTCTCTACGACGGAGAAGATGTCGAGACCATCTGTCGGGATTCAAACTCCGGACCTCGTTGTCCGAAGTCAGCGCCTAACCACTGACCTACATCCCGTCCCCTTAAGACACGGAAACTAATATGTAGATTCTTCGTGGATTGTATAAAGCAACACCACAGTTTCCATATATTTAATCAGTTTACAGATCAATGGAAAATCATCAACCATTTTCTTGGTCCTGATGCTGTCACAGAATCCATTGATGTTATAAGGTCTTTTGAAGTTCCACTCACAGAACGTCATCGGCCTACAATTGCGTCTCAAGTTTTGAACTGTGCAATCAACACCTGATTGTCAAAGTCGTCCATCATTCTCTCATCGCAGTTGTTTGACTGAAAAGACACAGCGGTTGTCCTGTGCGAGCAGCGATCGTGCAGTCCGTGCGTCAGGTGACTGAATATGACATGCATTCGATATACTAACTGCCCTACAATGAAACAAGCCGTTGTGATGAAGGCATTAATTTAGTACTGAAAGTGACTGAACTTTGTATAGAGACGGTTTATACCTTTGACATAGGCGGGTCCAGAGGGGGGTTGCAGGGGTGCGCACCCCTCCTCCCCCCCCCTTTTTTTTTGTCCTGAAAGTTTATGGACCGCCTCCGTGGTGTAGTGGTTGGAGAGTCCGCCCGGAGAGCGGAAGGTCGCGGGTTCGATCCCCGACCGCGTCATACCAAAAGACGTTAAAATATGGTACTTGTTGGTCATTGCCTGGCGCTCGGCATTAATGGGTACAACAAGGACTGGTCGGCTCGGAGTCAGTATAAAGTGTCTGAGTGGGGTATTCATGCTTCACTGCGGCATGGTATCCCAGTGGGCTAGAACTATAAAACCATCTTGAGTCTGGGCTAGTACAAGCAGCCGCACATACACATACACACACATGCACGTCGTCATATGAGCGAAATATTCTCAAGTACGACGTTAAACCCAATTTCACCTGACCTGACCTGACCTGAAAGTTTATGAAATGACCTATAAAAACGGTTGAAAATGAAGTGTGCACCCTTCCTTTCTCTCACGCCTCTCTCTCTCTCTCTCTCTCTCTCTCTCTCTCTCTCTCTCTCTCTCTCTCTCTCTCTCTCTCTCACACACACACACATTTTCTCAAAAACTTGCATCCGCCCCTGTGTGATGAAATACTCCTCGTCGGTGATAGTCGAGGAAATGGCCGAGACAAGACGAGTCATTTACAGGACGCTTCTAAAACCAGGGCGCCAGATAAGGGCCGTATCGGCGTATGTACGGACGGATAAAACATATGCACGATACGGTAGGAAATAATTTAGAAAACGTAGCAGATACGTACCACAGTAATGGTGTACGGTCTTAGAATCATTTCCAGACTTATTTATCTGAAAAAGTATTGTATTGTTGTTTATTGACCTGTTTACACAAGAGTAGCCTGCCTGCCTGAGTATGGTTTTACGCCGCTTTTAGCAATATTCCAGCAACATCACGGCGGGGGACACCAGAAATGGGCTTCACACATGTGGGGATTCGAACCCGGGTCTTCGGCGTGACGAACCAACGCTTTGACCACTTGGCTACCCCACCGCCCTCACAAGAGTAGCAATGTTGTGGTGCATATATGAAACGAAACACAATATTACTGATACGCCATTAAATTCCATTCAGTACTCTAAATGTACTCTTAAGTTTTTTCCATAGCTCCTATATTAAAAAATTAATGAGTACCTACTCCTGATGTTGAAAAATTATCTGGAGCCCTGTAAAACTAACAATGTCACACTTGAATGGTGTGTGAGTGAACACCGAATTACCCCGGGATATATCACAGATTTTACCCATTCTTATTTGGGGTCATCTGTTTTTCACATTTAAGCCCAGGAATATATCTGCGTGTATTACAAGTATATGATGAAATGGATTACACGGAATTTCGCGCTAAATGTTTTCAGCGATATATATAATTAAACCCCGAACAAACACCTCTGCTAAAAAAAATAAAAACTCTGCGCAGATGAAGTGTTTGTGTTTCTAAGTTTTGTCAGAAACAACGTTAACTTGAAGGCACTTTAGTCGGTTTTAGTCGTCAAAGATCATACCGATACTGATTTTTCACAACTCTTTTTGCGGTGTTTCTGTTGTAACTCCGCTTTTAACACAATTAACGGATCGCCAGTGGCGAGTTAACCAGAAATGGGCTGCACATATTGTAGCCATGTTGGGAATTGATTCCGGGTCTTCAGCGTGACGACGGGTCGGTGGTGTAGCCTAATGGTTATATTTTTCAGAGCGACCGCTCGTCATTTCTGGTGTCCCCCGCCGTGATATTGCTGGATTACTCACTCACTCACTCACTTCAACGTGACGAGCGAACGCTTTCACCTCTACGCTACCCCATCGTCCTCTATTGTAAATAATAACTACCAAAACTGAAAAAAGTAATGTTTTCGAGAACTAAACAATATCAATTGATCGCTGAGGATTCTAGATGTGATTTCCCCGTAAAGTCGGGATATTGCTGAAAACGGCGTTTACTAATATGCACTCAGTGGCATTCATAGAGAGTGGTGGCGGTGGGGTAGCCTAGTGGTTAAAGCGTTGGCTCGTCACGCCGAAGACCCGGGTTCGAATCCCCACATGGGTACAATGTGTGAAGCCCATTTCTGGTGTCCCCCGCCGTGATGTTGCTGGAATATTGCTAAAAGCCAAACTCAGTCAGTCAGTCAGTCATAGAGAGTGAGAGAGTTTGGTTTTACGCCACTTTTAGCAATATTCCATCAATATCACGGTGGGGTGACACCAGGAATGGGCTTCACACATTGTACCCATGTGGGGAGTTGAACCCGAGCGAACGCTTTAACCACCGCCCGGGCATTCTTAGCCGCGAGCAGCTGCAAACTTGCTGATGCGACTTAAAACTCTCATTTACTCACTCACTCGGTGGCATTCTACAACTTCATTTCCAGGTTTAACTTGAAAGGAAACGTTCAAAGTTTGGTTTTACCCTAAAAAGTGTTCAAAATGGTATCAAACTAGCCTAACAAGTTTCTTTATAATCTTCATGATAATTATTATTCATAATCTATTATGATATACTTTGAAGACACTGACGGGGTACCATTAAGTGTTTTCTTTGAGTATATAAGTCTACTACAACGACAGTGCGTCCCACCATGCGAGGATCCGTCTGTCTTAGGTTCAAATCCCATATGGTGCGGTGGGGTAGACCTGGGTTCGAATCCCCACATGGGTACATTGTGTGAAGCCTATTTCTGGTGTCCCCGCCGTGATGTTGCTGGAATATTGCTAAAAGCGGCGTAAAACCAAACTCAGTCAGTCAGTCAGTCGAATCCCATATACGTCCTTACTTGTACATTCAGTTAAACGGTCACGTCTACTACCTGTGCTGCTTTCGCCTTCATCTACAATATTTAACTATCACTCTTTAGTCATGAAACAATATGATTAAGCTAAAACGATCAATCGGAAACAATGTATTACAACATGAAGTACTACAAATGCATATTTTACGTGCGCTTCTTATAATTCAACAATTTTGAATTTGAGGAGGTGGGTTTGGCTATAAATATGAAGGCATACGGACAGTACATTTAACACTGCAAGCAAAGAGCAAGCACCAGAAGGTTTCTCTTTGCATCCTATAGTAAGGCTTCTGTACTTTTTTTTCTGTGTTTCCCTTCTCCCGCCCGCCTTGAATTTTCATTCAGAGGGGAAAAGATATAAAATTTGCTTATCTCAGTTTTTCCTGCCGCTGTGGAAATTCATGGCTGATGTGATAACAAAAATACCCTTACCCTTAACACTCATTTAAAGACCAGTGCAGACTGACCTTTCTTCGCCTAAATTTCTTTAATAAATTGTTTCAAAAGCCAACCCTTTATTTACTATTACCAATTGACCTAAAATTTAAATTTCATTAAAAAAAAGAATTATACAAGTCACACATGGAGTGGAAAAAAATAAATTATTTCATGTTGTTTATAATTCTACATAATTTTCGCCCGCCTCCTCTCTTGCTGGTTGACGTTGGAGATGAGAAACACTAACAAATTACGGATGGCCTGAAGCAGATTTATAGGCTTATTATTTATGACATCTCTCCAAATGTACTACAGACCAACAGTTCACACCGGTGCGTGCTGCAAGGGCAATCCGTGCACAGTGCACACACAATCCGTGTCGTTTCGCCCTGCTTTGTGTTTGGTGCATCGTTGCAGGATCTGTCTCTATAACGTCACTCGACATGCGTAACTGTGTCGGACGATTTGAGGTTATAAAAGTGTTTAACTCCCAAAAATTCTTTATCTAGAAGAAACACTGCAAAATTCACAAGCTTAAGGAGGCCAGCATAGACTAAGGTGTTGTCTTATAATTTTGAAAGGAAGAAAGATTTGATCGGAAAAGGAGCCCAGGTGAGATGCGAGATTTGACACCTGAATGTAATTTTACTCACAACCAAAACAAACTTGATAAAAAGCCAAAACTAGCAAGTACTATTCTTGTTAGTAGCGTTTTACTCACGATAAACTAATGATGGTTGTCGTTTTCAGTACCTGAGCCTGAGGAAAATCAAGTTCTTTTGCACGACAGTAGGTCGAGGGATAGCCTAGTGGTTAAAGCGTTCGTTCTTCAGGCCGAAGGCCCGGGTTCGATTCGAGTAATTTCACGGTTAAAGTAGAGGGATTTATGATGAGTATGTTTCAAGATTATTGCCATTTTGCTCAAGATTCGATTAGAGAAACATTGAGGCTTTTGTTTGTTTCTTTTTGTTTGTTTAACGCCGCACTCAGCAATTTGCGGCCTGTACATAAGCGTGTCTGGACCAGACAATCAAGTGAGCAGCATCATGAGCATCCATCTGCGAAGACGAATGTGCAAATTTACAATGGACATTATGTAGTTATGAGTGAAATGGTTTGGGATACGATGACATGTGTCAACGAAGTCAGCGAGCCTAACCACCCGATCCTGTTAGTCGCCTCTCACGGCAAGCATGGGTTACTAACCCGGATTCTCACCCGGATCTTCACTGGTCCTATAAAATGTTACAAACAATATTACGTCATCACATGTCAAAATCCCAGCTGTCATAAAGCACGTACAACATGGGTAATTCCAGTTATTATCGCCACACGGAAGTAAATTGGTTATATGTTATCCGCTGTGTTATCACATCTATTTATAAATACAACCGATCCGCTGCTCTCTGTGCAGGGTTTGCATACAAGGAAATTGACACATGTAATAAATACTTGGACGTTATATAAAAGGGATGTATAGGGTTATGGTTACTGGTCAATATAATACAGTTTAACATTCAGTTTTACATCAACTGATAAATAAACTTTGATCTTCAGGTTTACTTCTTCGATGAATAAATATTTCGTTTCAGATGTATACCTCTTTTAGAATAAACTTGAAGATGCAGATTTGCATCTGCGGGGGAATAGACTATGCTATTCATATTTTCATCTAAAGCGGAATAAAATTTACATCTTCAATGAATAAACTATAATATTCAGATTTACATCCACTGCAGAATAAACTTTCAAATTTATATCTACATCTACAACGGAATAAAAGTTAACATTTACATATTACATATACATATACATATACATATACATATACATATACATAGACATATACATCCTGGAAAATTACGTTTCCCTTGCCATTCGTGTTTTTTCTCGTCTCAATCTCGTGAGTTAGTTTAATTTTACGCAGCTTTTGCAATATTCCAGCAATATCACGGCGGGTGACACCAGAAATGGGCTTCACACAAAGTATCCGAGTGGGGAATCGAACGTGGGTCTTCGGCGTGAAGAGCGAACGCTTCAACGCTAGGCTACCCCACCGCCATCCCACATATAGCTGGAACATTACTGTTTCCAGCGTCAGTCTACAAAGAAAGGTCACAATCACTATCCACGGCTGCCAAAATAGTTACTAATGTTCTAAAGTATTTGTGAAGAGCGAATGAGTTAAGTTTTACGCCGCATTCAGCAATATTCCAGCTACATGGCGGCGGTCTGTAAATAATCGAGTCTGGACCACACAATCCAGTGATCAACAGCATGAACATCGATCTATGCAATTGGGAACCGATAACATGTGTCAACCAAGTCAGCGAGCCTGACCACCCGATCCCGTTAGTCGCCTCTTACGACAAGCATCGGTTACTGAAGATCAATATTCTAACACGGATCTTGACGGGTCTGATGCGGCTTGAAGAAATATTTCCTCACTCACACACTTGAAGACGTCTTAAATAACAAATTGAGTGATTGCGAGAGTTTTGTAATGGCAGCTTTGAACAGTATATTTGGGTGCGTAAACGTAACTGGTGAGATTATTACACGCTTTGAGGAAGCATAGCGATTAGCAGTGCGTTCAACAGTTCACAAATACCTCCACAACGGCGGAATAACAAGACGCATACGTGCATATAACAGTTTATTAGCAGTGTACACAAGATCAAAGATTAATTCACAATCAGATTCATGGCTAAACAAGACTTTGATATACCGGAAATATTTATAACAGACGATAGACCTTTGCCTCCGCTCCAAAGTTCCGATTATAATACAAGGACGAACATATTTACAGGAAGGAATACAAATATTTTTTCGCTCCTTTGAAGCTAGGCGCCCAGAAGAACAAAGGGACACAAACTACTACAACAACGAATAGATTTAAATCTATCCAAGTCCTCTGAGCGTGTGTTTGACGATTTCAGGACAGCCATCAAGTTTGAAGTATTCAAAATGTGAATATCGGGATATTTTATAGTCTGCCATACAGACCCTGAAGCAAATATATCAAAGAAATCCCACGCAAGTCTAGAAAATGTGGCAAATCTAGATTTCCACAGCTTCGGGAAAATGAAGAAAGTCTCAGGGCTCCTTTTTATTATATTTTGTTTTGTTTTTTTCACTATGAGCCATTTCAGTGACTAGTTGTTAGTCTAGATATTTTATAAAATGTCATAATTTGCATGAAAACAACGAAAGTATTTGTTACATTTCAGTTTGACCATCTCATTCAGAAATGTTTTGTGTAAACATTAGGATGTTTATTTCGTATTCCGTGTAAGTGCAAAATGTAATTAACAATTCATTTACTCTATTGGGAACAAAATATAGAAATATAAATAAAGTAACATCCTCAATATTAACCTTAGTTATATTCGAGATGCTAATTGTTATGTCGTTGCCCACAGGTCTCACAATAATATAGAACCCATAAAGATCCGGGTTGGAATTGATCTTCAGTAACCCATGCTTGTCATAAAGAGGCGACTAATGGGATCGGGTAGTCAGGCTGGTTACAGTCTAAGTAAACTTAGGCTCAGTATTATTCGTTACACTGCTATAATGAGCAGTGTAACGAATAATACTGAGCCTAAGTTTACTTAGACTGGGCTGGTTGACACATGTCATCTATCCCAATTGCTTAGATCGATGCTCATGCAGTTGATCACTGGATTGTCTGGTTCTGACTCGATTATTTACAGACTGCCTCCATATAGCAGCAATATTGCTGAGTGCGGCGTAAAATAACAAGTGGCCGGCGTTAAACAACAAACGAAATCATACAGATATAAAGAGAACTTTTCTATTCAGGCTATGGTTTTAATGACACTGGACAGAGGCATGATGTGATTAAGGCCTGCAGTGACCTTTAAATAGCTGTAGGCGGATCAATGAACATGCAGATAAAACGGGGTTTTTTAAACAGGTTAAAGCTCTTAGTTTGAGAAGACACTGCCTTAAGTACACGTGAAATGGAAAAGAAACTTCTCGAACTTCCGACAATATATACTTTCCTTCTTAATTGAATCTAATTTCACTTCAACATTCATATCCAGGATTGTCTTTGCGTCAACAAACATGAAATTATAATCTAAATTAAAACACACGTGTGTCATAAACAATATTCACCGTTCAACTTTCGATGATAAAGACTGTTAAATTCTAAATACTCAGGAGTCAATATTATGAATATTCATTGTATAAAATATAATACAAATCTTGAGACAGTTTCAACTGAGAACAATGTTGGTTTCAGATACAATTATTTTCATCCTAAGGACATATACTTTAACAAATTGCTGCCTCGCGGTGACCATTTATATTGTCAAAACTGTAAGGATTTATAAAGTTCAAGATGCGGCCCTGCAGCCAGTGAAACATCGTGAAACTATTGTCAGCAGTGTATGGTATGTTACACAGGAAACTGCACAATGTCTGAGGGACATGTCACATGTATTTCCATGTCCTGTGGCCATCTGATAACCCCCACCCCCCTCTCCTCCATGAAACAAGGAAATATTTACAAGTGCTATCATACACATTTTCCCGAGAAATACCTTTTCGACTGTACTTGTTTCATATGAAACTAAATTAATAGTGAAACGCACATGCGGATCATAAATAAACTGCATAAAAAGTCCAGTCCCGGTGCTGGGTGATATGATCGTGTGGTCATATAGGATTTCCATGACGAATGAATGGACAAAAACATTGAGTTTCAATTCATTCATTTATTCATTCATTCATTCATTCATTCATTCATTCATTCATTCATTCATTCACCCACCCATCCATTCATTCATTCATTCATTCATTCTGAAGATCTAATCACAAACGTTTGTATAATATAAACAGCTATTGTGTAATCATTTTTCTAAGAATATCTTTTCAAAAGCCTTGCAATTGAGAAGTACCAATAGCTAAAAACAAACTCCTTAATTTACATAATCCCCAAAATGACTGTCAATAAACGGAATTTTCTCACAAAGTTCTCAACCCTTCATCTTAGTCGAAAGATCGGGTAGTCAGACTCGCTGACTTGGTTGACACGTCATCGGTTCCCAATTGCGCAGATCGATGCTCATGCTGTTGATCACTGGATTGTCTGGTCCAGACTCGATTATTTACAGACCGCCGTCATATAGCAGGAATATTGCTGAGTGCGGCGTAAAACTAAACTCACTCATCTCAGTCACCCTGACTATCAGCTGAAGTCGTACTTATACTGCAGCATCACATGGCGTTCTGATCCCAATATTAAACCAATATACGAATACGAAGCCTGGTAGGAATAGTTGGACCGCAGTATGACTTAAATGAATTATGATGTGTATTAGACATAGCTTTGACCTTCAGTTATAGATTGTGAGATTCTAAGGCAACAGCAGTCTTAAATGGTGATCTCAGAAGACAAGTAACATATACAAAATATCAATATATCATTGGCGTGTGAAATACACATCATTGAGCAGTTATTGTCCTGTTTCCATACAAAAAGTAATACCCGAAACTTCTGGAAATATTCCTCAATTCTGAAATGCCAACATTGGTCAGTGTCACTGTCAATGAATCATACGACGTCCTTCTGTGTTTGGTATACTGTCGCTTGTGTCTCATCGGAAATTGGCCGAGCTGGCGTCTCATTGGTGATTTCTTTTTTTCTGGGAATGAGCTTCAAATCAGAGAATCACTCAGTGATGGATAGCCATTTAACTCCAAGTTTCCTTGAGTGACTCCCAATCCACCGACATCACCGTGACTCATATCTTAGAAGCCCTAGTGACCAATGACCCTTTAACATAGAAATGTCGCTCTTAGACACGCCCAATCCACTGACATGACAGAGAGTCATATCTTAGAAGCCCTTAGTGGCGAATGACCCTTTAACATAGAAATGTCACTCTCAGACACGCCCAATCCACTGACATGATAGAGACTCATATCTTAGAAGCCCTAGTGACGAATGACCATTTAATATAGAAATGTCACTCTCAGACACGCCCAATCCACTGACATGACAGTGATTCATATCTAAGAAGCCCTTAGTGGCGAATGACCCTTTAACATAGAAATGTCACTCTCAGACACGCCCAATCCACTGACATGACAGTGATTCATATCTTAAGAGCCTTAAGTGGTGAATAACCCTTTAACATAGAAATGTCACTCTCAGTCACGCCCAATCCACCGACATGATAGAGATTCATATCTTAGAAGCCCTAGTGACGAATGATCCTTTAACATAGAAATGTCACTCTCAGACACGCCCAATCCACCGACATAACAGTGATTCATATCTTAGGAGCCTTAAGTGGTGAATAACCCTTTAACATAGAAATGTCACTCTCAGTCACGTCCAATCCACTGACATAACAGTGATTCATATCTTAGGAGCCTTAAGTGGTGAATAACCCTTTAACATAGAAATGTCACTCTCAGTCACGCCCAATCCACTGACATGATAGAGATTCATATCTTAGAAGCCCTAGTGACGAATGATCCTTTAACATAGAAATGTCACTCTCAGTCACGCCCAATCCACTGACATGACAGTGATTCATATCTTAGAAGCCTTAAGTGGCGAATGACCCTTTAACATAGAAATGTCACTCTCAGACACGCCCAATCCACTGACATGACAGTGATTCATATCTTAAGAGCCCTAAGTGGTGAATAACCCTTTAACATAGAAATGTCACACTCAGTCACGCCCAATCCACCGATATGATAGAGATTCATATCTTAGAAGCTCTAGTGACGAATGATCCTTTAACATAGAAATGCCACTCTCAGTCACGCCCAATTCACTGACATGACAGAGAGTCATATCTTAGAAGCCCTTTGTGGCGAATGATCCTTTAACATAGAAATGTCACTCTCAGTCACGCCCAATCCACGACATGAGAGAGAGTCATATCTTAGAAGCCCTTAGTGAAGAATGATTCTTTAACATAGAAATGTCACTCTCAGTCACGCCCAATCCACGACATGTCAGTGATTCATATTTTAGGAGACCTTAGCGATGAATGACCCTTTAACATGAAAATGTCACTCTCAATCACGCCCAATCCACCGACATGACAGAGATTCATACCTTAGAAGTCCTCCATGTTGAATGATCCTTGACAAAGAGATTCCAACAAGAGAAACACTTTGCGTCTGGTACCAATTTAACATACAAATGGCACTCTGCGTTACAGCAGATCCTCTAACGTGACCTGGCCTGATGTTTTCATAGTGGACATGCAGCAGCAATTGTATGCTTGAGCCGACAGAAGAGGGAGCATCTTTGGATCTATTCATCCTCACTCAATTTCGTCGATTCCCTGCAGGAACCATGATTAATAGACTCCGGTCCATTCCACTGACCTTCACCTCGTGCCCTCGCCTGACCCTGGTACGGCGGGAACAGCACCGCCGGGGGAGGGTTCCCGCTCTGGTTACTCAACTTGATGATCACATTCTTCATCTTCGCAGTGATCCCAGGCACTATGTAGAGAGGAAGAACCCATGTTGTTTCTCCTTCATCATTCTGGTAAAAGAGGCATCCGTACGAGATAGGGTCGTTGCTCTTATGCAGAGTCCATCCTTGAGGCAGCTGGGAATCACAAAGAGGCACGCCACACTCACACAGGTCTGTATCCTTTAATCCATCTCGGAGTTCGTCCATCCTGTTTTTGTCCTCATCCCGCGGGGACGAGTAGTACGTCTCTGTGTTGGATCCGGACCCTGGAGGAGGAGGACAAGGGGGACGACCCTGGCTTCCGGTCTTGGGTGGTTGCGGTAGAGGACGAGTTGCATTGCTTGCCGACCGTCTCCTAGATAGAGCTCGAGAGATGGTTGACTGTTGACTTGTATCCATGTACCTTCCTCCCAATCCTCCGAAGTCGAACTGTGGAGTCAGTTTTCCAGCATCGGGTGTCTTAGGAATACTGTTGTCAGAGTACCTCCTTGTGGTGATGGGCATTCCGGTTTGGAGGGGTGCATAGGCTTCCTTGGATTCAGCTCCGTGGATGATTGGGTGGAGGAGTCTGACGTTGTCTATCTGTTCCAGGTTCCGGATCCGCTGACTGCTGTAGTTTTTGCACAGATCTTGGAAGGTGTTGAATTTTAGCTGCTCCACGATGTAGTACTTCATGGTTGGGGTCCGTTCAATCACAACGTTAACATGGCGGACAGAGTTTGTATCGATGCTGAAGGAGAAACACAATATTATGAGTCAGTAAAATGGTTTCAAACAAAGTTCTTGGTTTGATATATCAAATATCACTCTTTTTCACTTATGCTATTTACAAACCTACTTCTATTGCCATTGGATGTTTCAATGTGTGAAGCCCATTCCCGGTGTCCACCCGCTGTGATATTGCTGGAATATGGGACTCACTCATTGTACCATTCTGGGGAATAGAACCTGGGCTTGCGGCGTGACGAACAAACGCATTCACCACTAGCCTACCCCACCGCCCAGCTTTGTAACAGACCCTTTGTAACAAACTAATGCAGTAAAACAGGTGTATGAAACATCCCAGAAGCATTGAAACATAGACTATAACAGAGACACGTTGAATCAGGGATATCTGACACATTGCAACAATAACTGTTTGACACATGGAAACAGAAACTGTATCTCCAACCGACCTGACTGTGAGAGACAAGTAGTTATCTCCCTTCGAGCTGAGCCGTAACAGGTAGTAACCGGGCCCCTGCGCATGTTCCTCGACGTATCTTTGCGCCTACAATATCGTTAAAAATAATAGAAAATAAAAAATATAGCATTTTTTAAAAATAAAAACAACGTAACATCGATCGTTTCCTGACATTGTTCTGACTTATTATTTTTAATTGAGAAGCATCCGAACAACATATGTCAATGTTATAACCCCGTTGGGACAATTCGCAAGCAAAATATGCTCTATTCCGTGTTGGTGTAAAAGATAACCCAAGTTGCTCTTGTGGAAATGTTTGTGAAAATTCTTGTCATTATTTATTTGAGTGTCAATTATGTACTGTACAGAAACTGCCATGATGTCTAATTTACGCAGTGTTACCAATATGAATATATATTATAAGTTACTATTACATGGCAATACAGATCTGACTGTTCGCATAAATTAAAACATATTTAAAATTGTTCAAACATATATTTGTCAATCAAAAAGATTATTTCAATTATTGCAATTGTTTCACTGTTTCCTATCTTGTCTGTCCATCTTGTATAAATAATGTAAATAATATTTATGTAAACACTATGGAGAGGGTGTGCTAAGGTGTAATAACTTGTACCCAATCCTTTGAATAAAATATGTTTAAACCAAATATGCTTGTCGTAGGAAGCGTCTTAATGATTGCACACTGGATTGTCTGGTCCAGACTCGATTATTTACAGACCGCCGCCATATAGCTGGAATATTGCTGAGTGCGGCGTAAAACTAAACTCACTCACTCACTCACTTAATGATTGCATATGTCTTTGTTGTTTTGCAGCTGCACTCAGCAATATTCCAACTATATTACGGCGGTCTGTAAATAATCGAGTCTGGACCAGACAATCGAGTGATCAACATCATGACCATCGATCTACGCAGTAGGGATACAATGACGTGTGTCAACCACGTCAGTGAAACTGACAACTGGCGTTAATCATAGGGCTGCGCAATATAACCGGTTCAGACATGAAAACGATACGTATTGCGATACGCTGATCAAACACCTGTATTTTGACATGCATTCGGAAACTTCGTAACACTCGGAAATCTTCTGATATTTCCTTGTTTCATTTGTGCCAAATGTTATTTACATTTTTATTTTGTCATGATTAAAAGGTTTTATTTTTAAAGCTTAATCAAGCACAGTGATTTTGATGTCTTTTTGTTTTATAAATCAAGCATTGACTCGATGATAATTAGTTTTTAGTTAAAAAAACCTTCTTACAATATATTGCACTACATATCGCAATATATGCTTTCGCATCGCAATATATCGGAATATGAAAAATCTCCGCAATACCCACCCCTAGTTAATCAACACTCATGGTTGAGGAGAGTCAGAATACCCCGAGGGAGTGGAGGGATGAACATAACATCAATCACTTGCTTATCTGATCCAGATATTGGTGAATACTTCGTTAACTAGCACAAACGTATTTCTATGACATGAACGGAATGTATAATTTACTTACAATTTTGCTGTCACCAAATTTTGCATAGAAGTAGGGTAAGGCTTTGATTTCATCGGGAATGTTCTGAACTCTGGCAGCTCGTAGTTGGTTCTCCGGCAAGCCGAGTTCCCGAGCCATACTGAGGCCCTGGTAGAGTGCTCCGGATTGGTTGTTGGCGCTGGCAATGAAGCAGAGAAAGGTCTCTTAATGAAAGCAAATTGTCATTAACCATGAATTCACAACGTTACTTTCTTATGGCCATAAGCTGCTTCTCGTAATGATTTTTTTTATGTCTGCCTTGTTCTCTTTCAGAAGATATAAAACAAACAAACAAGTAATTTGTAATAACCTATAATTGAAACATTCCCATCTTATCATTAAGAAAAGGGACGCATATTTGTTTTTCCAAATATCGAAAAGAATTCTCCAGGTACTGCCGATATTTTGTCGTAAATTTGATTCTTTGACTACGTTTAATATATAAACATAAAATAATAAGAAAATAATCGCGATTACGAAAATATAACCCAAGAATCTTCGAAATTCGGATAATTAAAAATAAATTACGCTACCGAAGTGGCATCATTATATTTTCGCACTGCAGCAAGGGGAATGCAACATGGCTGACACAAACAGTTCTGTGAGGATTGCCGAGGCAAGGTTCCGTGTGTTCGGGATTGTTCCCGACGTTCAAGCCATACATATGTACTTGATGTCAAAATTCAAAATTTACAAACGTAAGAAAGAAAACAACATAGCTTTTGACAAAGCTGACATTTATCAAAAATATTTATCTACAAATTCTATCCATAAGATTTGTCTTGTACTACTACAAATTCTAACCTGAATCTTCAGGGGTTTGAAATTCCGTTCGCTTGCTTACAAATTTAACCATTTAAGGTAAATTGTGAAAGTAAAACAGCATGTCTATCTACTGAATGCAGGAAGAGAGAGGACAGACCTTAACATCGATTGAACGTCTCCGTGATGTATCGGAGGAAAATCTACAGTTATGTCGGACAAAGATATAAATGAACGAAGAAGGCGGTTATGGTGTATCACGTGACACTTCTCCGCACTAATTATCTTACCAGCTTACAAAAGCAGTTTTAAGACAATTAAGCAGTCAAAACAAAGAAACGATTAATATTAAAAATACCTTCGTCTCGGTGCATTCCTAACCATCAGCATTATCCTGGTCCTGGTGAAAAAGTAATTCTGACGGTATGTCTTTTTTTTTCTTCAGCGGACGTCTTATACTACCAATAAATATTAGTATTTGTATAAGCAATTGTCAACAGACAGTAGTATTCCCCATGGGCTGGAGTCTCCTAATACGAGACGGTCCGGTTCTCGACTGGCTGGACCCACTGTTGTTTGCGATGATAAATACGTCCCTTGGCTGTTGTGCGTGAACGTACTGTAGTGAAACAGTCCCTTTATGTGGAAATACTTCCTCGTCAGTCTGGTTGATAAAAAGCAATTTCCTCAATTAATAGAACACTTAACTTGTCATAATTCGGGGCTATTTGCACTACAGTTTTAAGAAAACACACTCTGAAGTTGTTGGCAAATAGAATATAGATATATAGACGTATTGAAGTGAGTGAGTGAGTGAGTATGGTTTTACTTCTCTGTTAGCACCAAGAGCATGCTTCTGAGCGTGGATATGTGCGCGTTATAAATATGCACTATTATTATCAGCAATATTGCAGAAATATCACGGCGGTTGACACCAGAAATTGAATGAGTGAGTTTAGTTTTACGCCACACTCTGCAATATATATGGCGGCGGAGTGTACATAAGCGAGTCTTAACCAGACAATCCAGTGATCAACAGCATGAACATCGATGTACGCAAAAAGGGATACGATGACATATGCGAACCAAGTCAGGAAGTCTGAACAACCGATCCCTTTAGTCGCCTCTTACGACAAGCATGGGGTACTGAATATCAATTCTAACCCTGATCTTCGCGGGTTACCAGAAATGGGCGATCCTTTTGTTGCAAGGGGTGATAATTAACTCTCCATTTGAAATAATATGAGCGACGGTCAACTTCTCGCTACTGGTCTGGTTCCAGACTCAATGTGCGCTGCGACAACTGACTACATGTAAAGACAGAGCCCAACTTACGTATACGCGTTGCCGTGCTGCACCTTCATTGAAAATCGATCGTGTAGGTCTAAAAACTTTTAACTGACACATGTTTTGCGGTGATTTTTGGCTTAGAAAGCATTGTTTGTTTAATTTCCAAGTGCAACACGAATTGCCACGATGGGATAACGGCGAAAACGCGTCAGTCACTGTACCAATGTTTCGAGAATCGACCCCATACTTCGGCGTGAATAACGAGCGCGCTAATCCTTGTACTAACCGATCGACCAATAAATATAAGAACGGTAGACCCGCGGATGTCATTTTGAATAAGTTTGATCCATGTTCATCCCCAAACAATTTGGATGTCTGCAAGCTCAATTATTGACTGCATGTCAAAATTTCAGAAAATAGGTATGAAAGTGTCAACGATTTACCAGTTCGGGAAACCTGTGACAACGTGTACGGTGCTCACCAACCATGGGATCATAATCTGGGATTCGAACACACACTCAGCAGATCCTAACACGACTAAAGGGAGAAATGTGCAGCACTGGAATTGGATCGTGGGATCAGACGTGACCCTATTCGCAAATTTGACGTGACGATTTGTTAGTGACGTCACTGAGTGTATATTGATCAGATAAAGTCTCCCAGATAAATATGCTAAAGTTAAGGTTTTCCTGAGAAATGGGGTTATGATGACAACCAATCAACGAAGTCAACCTTATGAAGAAAGAATGTTACAGTTAACCAGTCTTGATATCGGCCTCAATTCCACTGACCGTAAATGGCAAAATAGCGGTGATAAATGTATGGATGACTGAAAGTCATTGATAACACTTAAGCTTTGATTGTTTGTTATTTCACGTCGCCCTGTACATTATTTCAGCTATATGGCACTGTTCTGTGAATAATCGAGTCTGGACCAGACAATCCAGTGATCAACAGCATGAGCATCGATCTATGCAACTGGGATACGATGGCATGTGTCAACAAAGTCAGCGAGCCTGACCACCCGATCCCGTTAGTCGCCTCTTACGAGAAGCATGGGTTACTGAAGAACCCGGAGCTTCACGGGTCGAATGGATCACTGAAAGCTATGACGACACAGGTATTCTCAAAAAGCATTAGCATGTCCTGGGTCCCGATAGCGCCCTCCATTCACTCTATTTGCATGATAATGTCAGTATATCTTTGTTGCCTGACACTGGATCATCATTCTTACCTTGGATTCGGACAGAAAGCTGGGAAAAGGAGAGGATCGAAAGCTAGAGTACAAGAAATATCATGTATAGATGCAGCGACATGTGATGTGAGATCCTTGTGGATGGGTGTGGTTGAGGTCGTGTTGAATCCATTAGACGTGCCTGAGACCCGTAGGACCTAGTAGGTAGGTTCCCGGTTCGCTCTGATTAGATGTCTAGGTATATTAGGGCTGCGCAATATGACCGTATTTACCGGTTCAGACATGAAAACGATACGCATTGCGATACGCTGATCGAAAACCGGTATTTTGACTTGCATTCGGAAAACTTCGTAACACTCGGAAATCTTCGGATATTTTCTTTTTTCATTTGTGCCAAATATTATTCACATTTTTATTTTTAATCATGAATAAAAGTTGTTTTTAAAGCTTAATCAAGCATAGTGATTTTGCTGTGTATTTGCTCTATAAATCAAGCATTACCTCGATTATAAGTAGTTTTTTTGTTTAAAAATACTTCATGCAATATATTGCAATACATATCGCAATACATGCTTTCGCATCGCAATATATCGCAATATGAAAATTCTCTGCAATACCCACCCCTAAGGTTTATCCATACCATACACGTTCGTTAGTGTCACCAGTGGTACACGTTTGAGACCTGCGTGATGTCGGACTTTTCTCCCACAATAAGCTTACATGCCTGGATGTACCTGAAATGTTGTTCATCACGACGTTAAACCAAACTCACCTGGGTCCACTCACCCACTCACTTATTCTTTGTGGATGTCCTCCCTCGCCAGGTTCCAAATTCGGACTGCTTTATATTTATATAACTCTATTTAGTGGAACCGTAAAGTACAATGCCAGACTGGTTACAGTCTCTCAACCAACCTATATTCCCTTCTGTAATAATATTATATCTTATATTTGGGTTTCTAAATGGCATTGTGGGGCGATGGAGTAGCCTAGTGGTTGAACCGTTCGCTCGTCACGCCGAAGACCCGGGTTCGATTCCCCACATAGGTACAATGTGTGAAGCCATTTATGGTGTTCCCCAGCCGTGATACTGCTGAAATATTGCCAAAAGCGGCGTAAAACTTAACTCACTCACTAAATTGCATTGAGTTTTCATTCTTTCCCTAGCTCTTTTTCCATAGTTCACCCTCGCCAGGTCCCAACCTCAGACTGCTTTACATCCATACAGCTCTATTTAGTGGAACCGCAAAGTATAAATGTCAGACCGGTCACCCATCAAGTAGACTGGCTCACAGTCCCTAAACCACATTATTTCCCCATCTGGCAGTCCTTTACTGCTATGGCTCTGCGTGATGTCTGTGGAAGGTTCTCCACAAGTTCAGGAATCTGCCCGATCTCACTTGGGTTCCTTCTCAATTTCAATTTATATGAATTTATTATTCAATGCTCGCTTCCATCAAAGTTCTCCATCCAGACCAATCTCATGACCTCGAATACATCTCTCAAAACAACTTAAAGATAATTGGAAATTTATTGTCTTTTTTGTTGTTGTTTTTGTTGTCACGCGTGTACTACCGACTGAGGTTGGACTGAGCTAAAACTAAACTGCATTACGTGACAAGCCAGCAAGTTTTTTCGTTCGATCGCCGCAAGTTATCGCCAAAACGGAAACAGCGAGCCTTGTGTGAATGTAAATGTGGTAACGTTGGACGGGAAGTACAACTGTTTTAAGGGGAAGTGATGAGTGAGATGATACTATGAACTTTCATTGAATCACTTAAATAATTTTACGAAAATGTCAAACACTGTCTAATTTCACGATAGGCCTATTGGTATGTTTAAGTCATTTGATTTGTGCACACAAAACTCTCTAAATATTAAGCTCCCTATATAACATTAAAGTCATAAATTAATTAGGGATCTGTATCCATTTGATGAAATTAAACGTCACGTATGCAATTTATTGATGATACTAAGCGGCTGAAACAAGTTATGAGTAAAAGAGATATGGGCGCTGTACCACTATTGATATTTTGCATAAATGACGCAATAACGTAAGATACACTCGTATTTGTTCCAACAAATATATATATTTACATAGTGCATTTTATATCATACTGAGTGAGGAGTGAGTGAGTTTAGTTTTACGCCGCGCTCAGCAATATTCCAGCTATATGGCGGCGGTCTGTAAATAATCGAGTCTGGACCAGACAATCCAGTGACCAACAGCATGAGCATCGATCTGCGCAATTGGAAACCGATGACATGTGTCAACCAAGCCAGTGAGCCTGACCACTCGATCCCGTTAGTCGCCTCTTACGACAAGCATGGTTTACTGAAGGTTCATTCTAACCCGGACCTTCACGGGTTCATATCATACTGAGGGCGGTGGGGTAGGCTAGTGGTTAAGTGTTTGCTTATCACGCCGAAGACCCGGGTTCGATTCCCCACATGGGTACAATGTGTGAAGCCCATTTCTGGTGTGCCCCGCCCGTGATATTGCTGGAATATTGCTAAAAGCGGTGTAAAACTACACTCACTCACTCATATCGTACCCCATATAAACCCGAGACCCCCTCTTTCCCAATTTCTGAAAGGGCTGACATGGGGTTTTGGTATAAAACTGCAATTCCACCTTGAAAGAAGACATGGTCAAGTGACAGTGAACAGTCGAAGACGCCCCAAGCCTAAAGGGACGTAACTCCACTTTTCCTATCACCAAGGCTGATGTTGATCGATCTTTCAAAAATACATTGACAAGCCGTATCAGGGTGGGCTGTCAAACGGGTGTGGGTGTTGCCTGTGATAGGACCATCTCAATTGCTGACTCTATTGCACATGCAAAACACCCATCTTTTGCATGTGTTTGATGAATTACATTGTCTCGTGTAGATAAAGATGCGAAAGCTTTCAATATGATGGACCAGGGTGAAAAATGACATTGTCCATCAGTTGCAAATATTGGCTGGAGGCTGATAGGGACATGGTACATCATAACGTAAGCATGATTCCCAGGGTACATGGCTTGGCGCGTGTATGTGTGCGTGCGTGCGTGTGTGCATGAATATTGGTTCATGTGAGTGCGTACGCGTACGTGTGTGCATGCGTGGGTGTTTGATTCTGTGTTCGGAGAGTAT